ATCGGGCGACTATATCATATAGCTGCCATAGGAACGATCGAAAAATTAATGGTTAATTAATTGAAAACAAATTATAGCTCCATTGGTTTTTATTGTATTCTCGTATACTATAGGATATGATTTTTTTTAATATTTCCGAGTTTTGAATTAAATTTAACAAAAATCGGACGACTACATTCTATAGCTGCAATAGGGAAGGATAGAAAAAAGAATGTTAAAATAATACAAAATTCGGCTGGCCGAAGCTAGCTTTCTTTCTTGTTTTTGTTTACATGTCGCCGCGTATGATAAATCTTAAATTTAAACTCTGTCAACCGTAAAAATTAAAATCCGAAATTTGAAAGTCCACCATTAATCTAATTTTCCATGGATTTGTGCCATATCCGGCTTCTTTTATTTGGTAGGATGTAAACTTTAAGTTTGTAGCGATTATAATTTTCCAACGGATTTATTTCGAGTTTTTACGATATATACAGACGACTTACAGTCGACAAAAAAACACATTTTTCATCTTTGTCGAGCTGCTGCGCTGCCATAACTTTTGTAATCATATTGGTCTGTATGGCAGAGTCAAGCTCTGATCTCGATTCCATACATCTGACGAATGTTCACCTTGTGTGTGTGTGATGCGCACTCGCTTCAACTGTGTATATTCGACATCAACAAGCTAGATGAGATCAGCGAAAAAATTTCATCATGTCTCAAAATATGTAAATTATTGCGTACAGAAACAAAAAGGTAAGTGAAAACTTAACATTTTTTAATAATATTTTTTTATAATATTAATAATAAACACTAATAAATATTTAATATTGTTTAAATATTGATATACTAATACAACCTGAGCAGACGTTGCACAGTGGCGCCTTGGCCCAAAAAACGTGCAATAAATCAATTTTTCGACTTTGTCCTAGAAAGTTGCGTCCCATACCAATCGACTGGTAATTGATCCACTATTAAAAATATGTAACCCTTTTTCAATTAAACAATTTTTTGTAAATGTTGTGCCCCTTCAAAGTTGACCAATTGTTCACTTTAAAAAAACACGCCGTTTTTAGGTAATTTTTCGCAATTTCGGGGTGTATATTTTAAAAACTAGGTATCAAATCGCTTTGCTTCTTTTTTTCCACTAATTGCTGTGTTAGTTAAAAGTAAAAAAAGTGAAACATATTGCAGTTTGCCAACCGCATCTCTTAGTTATGCGTTATTTTCCAAAATTTTTCCATTTTTTTGTAACTTTGATGGAAAATAAAAAAAACTTAAGCTTAACTTTGCCATACAGATAAATATGATTGGATGAGTAATGGCAGCGCAGAAGCTCGACAAAGATGAAAAATGTGTTTTTTGGTCGTCTGTAAGTCGGCTGTATATATCGTAAAAACTCGAAATAAATCCGTTGAAAAATCATAATGGGTACAAACTTAAGGTGTATATCCTACCGAATAAAACAAGACGGATATAGCCCAAATCCATGGAAAACTGGATTTATGGTGGATTTTTAAAGTTCGGATTTTTCCACTTTTTTTGGTTGACAGAGTGCAAATTTAAGATTTATCCTAGGCGGCGACAAGTAAACAAAAATAATTGGTGTTGGCAGCCGGGTCACCCCTAAGGCAGTAACATTTGGAAGTCCGATTTTTGGCACCTACAAGTCTTTTTCAAGTGATAAAATTATTAAAATTAGATTTCTTAAAGCGCGACTCGAAAGGGGGTCAAAATTAGCATACCAAATTCTCTCGGCAACAGTAACATTAATGATTATTTTAATCACAAAGGAGACTTATTTAGACAAGTTTTAAATTAAATTATATTAAAACTGCGCAAGTGCGTAGCCGAGAAACTTGAACTTAAAGTCCTTTTTTTCTATCCAATATAGGGAAGATATGTAATTGTAATTATACCCGTTACTCGTAGAGTAAAAGGGTATATTGTATTCGTGGAAAAGTATGTAACACCTAGAAGGAAGCACCCTATAAAGTATATATATTCTTGATCAGGCTCACAAGCCGTCTGTCTGTCTCTCTGTCTGTTTGAACGCTGAGATCTCGGAAACTACAACAGCTAGAAAGTTGGGATTACCCACACATATTCTTTGGCTTCCAACGCAGCGCAAGTATGTTTCAGCCGAGCGCCACGCCCCCACAATCGCCTTAAACGATTTCAAAAGGTGTCTGGCGCACACGCCTTTATAGATTTTGGAAAAGTAAAAATGCAGTTTTATTGTGTTATTCAATACCTATCGAAATGTAGAAGACATTTTTCAAATCGAATCATTCGTTAAAAAGTTATGCGCGATCAAAATTTTATATATCCATCTCCCTCGCACTCCCTTAAGCTTAATGAAGGCATACGCGATCGGATTACGTTGGCAATTGAAGAGTGCTGATGGACTTTTTTGTATAAAATTTTTAAGGCAATGCTATCACCTCTTTATATATTGTCTTTTTGTATCCTTAAACCATAAAAGAAAAATTTTACAATAATTCGTTTTAGGCGGTGCGCAACGGCTTTAAAGTTTATTACGCATATTTCAGATTCATCTAGATACCGTAGACTTGATTTTATACTTTGACAGTGTTTCAAAAAGTATCTAAATCACTTTCCCGAGCTTTTTAACAAGGGATTAAGTCGTTGATAAAATTTAAGTCCCTGGGAGACAAATACAACTTTAAAATAATAGTCAGCATTTCTTTGACTATAACTTTTATTGGCAAACGCAAAAGTGACAGTTAATCTTCAAAGCAGAGCATGCAAATAACAGTTGACCGTTTTTTTTTCCTTTCGGTCTGCTCCCGAGAACAACCGAAAAATAACATCCCCCTCGTTCTCTCTCTGCGCAGAACACTTCGATTCCTTTCGTTTTGGTTTTCTGTTGAACCCTTCACGTTGAGCTGTTCGTGAGACGCTCTGTTACCAAACATCGTTTAATGAGCGATAGAAATGTCGCTCGCACAGGGAGACTTATTAAAAGACCGATTGACTGAAAAAGTCTTCGCAAACGGTCTTTTTTACCGAATACAATTATACGAGGTAGTCCGTCGGCTGCCTGAGGTTCGGCTTTTAGTCAGTTGACGTGCTTCGGGGATATCTCTGTTACACTCACGTACTATCAGTGTAGGTAAGGGGCTGTCCATATATTACGTAATCACGTTTTTGGTGATTTTTGACCCCCTCCCCCCCCTAATGATAAAACGTAATCATTCAATAAACAACCCCCCCCCCCCAATGATTACGTAATCCCAAGAATAAAATTTTTTTTGTTTTAATCTGTGGATTCAAACGGAGATGCAACCCAATCTTATATATTGTTTATAAATGGAGTTTGGTATGACACATTCGGTTCGTCTACGCTGAAATTATCTCCAACATACTCTTCGTCAAGCCATTCCAGGTCTTCGCGTCCTTCGTGTGATTGAACCACTAAACATTTTCTTTTTCGCCGCACAGCCACTAAAAAAATTTTTTCTCTGCTTTCCTATCTAAGTTTGTAGATATAATTAAAGGAAAAAAGTTTTAAAATAAATTCTTTAAATAAAAAAATGTATATAAAATGATTACGTAATCATTGTGCAAGACCCCCCCCTCCCCATGTAATCAAACATAATCATTTCAATGACCCCCTCCCCCCTAGGTGATTACGTAATATATGGACAGCCCCTAACAGTTTACTACCGACGGGACTGCCTTGTAAAATTGAACTATGCCCACACACATGCGCAAGACTTTTTAAATATCGGTCAGTAAGCGAGCCGAGCAAAAGAAAACCGAAAAAACTGCTCATCGTCTGAGTGCGAGCAAAAATTTTGTTTGAAAAATTTAATCGGTTGCTCTCCGATTCTTTGCTCAAAGTCTCCGAGAAAAACACTTATTTGGGGACCGCTCAAATCGGTCAACTGTTATTTGCGAGCTATGCTTCAAAGTTAGAATATATAATCTCTATTTCAGTGTGAATCACACATAAAACAAGAGAGAACGCTATAGGGGTTGGTGTCCCGACTATCTAATACCCGTCACTCACCTAAAGGGAGTGCGAACGCTGTACTCTGGTTGGTGTCCCGACTATGCAAGGGAGATAGATATCTAAACAATTTTGATTGCGTTTAACTTTTTAATGAATGGTCCGATTTGAAAAATGTTTTCTACATTTCGATAGGTATAAATATACACGACAAAATTGCATTTATACTTCTCGGAAATCTTTAAAGATGTGGGCGCAGGACACATTTTAAAATCGTTTATGGTCGATTTTGGGCGTTAGAGGGTGAGTGGCGCTCGGCTGAAAAAACTTGCACTGCATAGGAGGCCCAAGAATATGTGTGGAAAATCTTAACCTTCTAGCTTTTGTAGTTTCCGAGATCTCAGCGTTCATACAGACGGGCAGACGGTCATGGCTAGATCGACTCAGCTAGTGGCCCTGATCAAGAATATTATGGGGTCGGAAACGCTTCCTTCTATCTGTTACATACTTTTGCACGAATACAATATACCCTTTTACCCTACGAGTAACGGGTATAAAACATAATGGGTCGGGGATCGAACTCAGTCCTTTTCGTTCAGAGACAGAAGCTCTACAAGCTAGGCAACGTCCAACTGTTATAGGCATGAAATAAACATCTTCTTGACTCTTTTATTCGAGCGGAACAAAAAGTACACCAGTTAAGGAAGGAAGAAAAATATTACGATTCGTACCAGTTATTTTACTGAAACTTTGGAACCGCTGCGCACCGCCTAAACGTTAAAATAATTTTTTTTGGTTTTCGCATTCATTTATTAGACACAGAAAACTACCATTTTATATGCTGAGCTCAATCGACCTTTAAAAAGTCCACCCTAATGTACATATGTATGTCAACTTTATTTTCCCCTGTACGATTTCTCACTTTCTTCGGCCCCATACAAATCGACCCGCCGTGCTGTTTATATATTACGTAATGTCATTTTTGTAGTTTTATGGAAGAGTCTATGCCCTAGAAAGGTACCCAACTTAAAAGATTATTAGGTGCAATGCAGTTCTTAATTTTAATTTCAAACTACATGTTCTTTATTTAAATTACGATAACCGAATACATGTAATTTATTCCTCAAAGTTTGGTGCAGCACTCTTTGTTTTCGAATAATCCCTCACAGGCGAGTAAAACTGAAAAGAGAAAAAGGTTGCACAATTATTAATATTATTTTATATAAGCTATATAGGTCTACGACAGTAAAAGGGAATACGCCCACAACCCAAACCCTTAGAGCGAGAGCAGACAAATGTTTACTCTAGCAACGGATATGAGAATATGATCAGCACCACCAGCCTAGTTTTTTTTTATTCATAAATTACATACATAGACAAAAATAAATATACATATGATATCCAGACTTGCGGGACTGCCGTGAAGCATTGCCTCGCAAGGCTGGCTGGCCTGTTTACGGCCTCACGTTCCTTATGCGTTCTAGCCGCCTCAGTTCCGTCGTGACTTCCGCAGCCAGACTGCATACAGCTGTCCAGTTATCCTGACTCTCCAGCATACTAGGTACCAGTCCCTCCACTGTGATCGGGGTCCCCAGGATTTGTTCGGCTCATAGGCGTTCTTCTCCGAACCTGACACAATTGGTTATCGATGTAAATACTCCTTAAAGCATCCATGTCCGCCTGTGTCAGATGGAACGTTAGTTCGCCGTTTGGTCTGTTTACCTAAGCTGCTATATTGGGGATGAGTCGGTGCGTCCACCGGCCGGTTCCTGCCCTATCCCATCTTTGCTGCCAGTTTTCAAGGGACTTTGTTCTTGACCTTAGTTTTGCCAAGCGGAGGTCCGCCTGTGTATCAGCTACTTTTCTCGCTTCGAAGTTCTTCTGATTTTGTACTGTTGAGGTCAATCGTCCATATCGTAGTGGAGCCAACTGTCGCTCAGGTAGTTGCTAACGATCGCCTGCAGGTACTTTGGGATGTTCAGCATCCCGAGTGAGGCCATTATTTTGCTCCAGGATGCAGAGTTGAAGTCGTTTTTGATGTCCAGAGTTGCCACCAAACAGTATTGTTTCTTTCCTCCCAGCCACCTTTTGCCTTCTATGGCCTGCCTGGCTATGCGGTCCACGGCTTCCAGTGCATCTAGGGTTAAGCGGGCCTTTCTAAAGCCATACTGACTTTTTGAGAGCCCTCCGGCAGCCTCAATTGCTTTTCCGAGTCTTACACTGACAATACTTTCTAGTATTTTGCCGGCCGTGTCCAGAATGCAAATGGGACTATATGCCGACGGTTCTTCCTATCTTTTCCTGGCTTTGGTATAAGCACCAGCTTTTGCTATTTCCACCGTTCTGGGAAGCAGGCTTGGGCCAGGCACTTAGTGTATGCACTGGCAAAGGTGCTCGAGTACATGATTATGGCCAGATTGAGTGCCCGGTTTGGGATCCCATCTGGCCCTGGTGCCTTGTTGTTTGGTACCTTCTGGGCTATGTTGTCCAACTCCTGTAGGGTCACCGGCTGTATCTGATGGTCCGGGACACCGAGCACTTCCGCTTGCCTCGTTTCCTGCGCTGGGAAAAGGCGCCTTATGATCTCTCCCAGTTTCTCAGAGTCTGTTGGGGTCACGTTTTTAACGGCGTTTGTTTTTTTTATATGACCTCCTTGTGGGCCTTTCCCCACAGGTCGTTTTCTGCTTCAGCGCAAAGTTGCAGGAAGCACTGCTTTTTGCTGCTTTTTATTTCCCGCTTTAGGATCTTCCTATTTTGGGTGGAAATTTCCCTAAGTATATGGAAGTCTTCGGTTCCGCGGGCCCTATGGTAGGCTCTCCTAGCGCTTATGCATTCACGGCGTGCCTTCTCAATCGCTTGGTTCCACCAGTAGACTGGCTTGCGCCCCTTGAAGCTTTTACTGCGCTGCATGCTGGCGTCGCAGGCTTCTTTGACCTTTTCCATGAATGCCCGTTCTTTGTCCGCTAATTCCGTCCCATCCAGGGCCGCTCTAAATGCTGGTATGTCGAGCGTATTTTCTTTGTAGTGTCCTCGAGTAATTGTCGGTGTGGCGGTTCTTCGCGTGCTGATGGTGCTTATAATTCCACTATGGTCGCTCGCCGTGTGGGTCTCACTAATCTCACATGTCGCCGTCGCCGCCAAGCATGCGCTTACGTAGGCGAGGTCGATTATGGACTGCGCTCCCGATCTCCTAAATGTAGGGGTGGAACCCGTGTTTTGTAGGACTACGTCCAGCGATGTGAATGTCTCTATGACTACTTTTCCTCTGGCGTTTGTAGAGGCTGATTCCCACTCCGTTGACCACGCATTGAAGTCCCCGGCAATAATCGCAGGCGAATGTGCTGGTAGTAGGGTTGTAGGGCTCGCTCAGAATTGCCAGGTCAATTTTGAGCTCGGAAATTGTTTGGGTGAGAAGATCCTGGGCCACCCTGAAGTGGTTAAGGTTTAGCTGCATGACCCTTAACATCTTTGTAGTGATTTTACCGCCTCGACATACGCTGGGCATTTAAAGCTCCCAGACGCGTGGTTCGTTGGGAGATAATTTTTCTGCGCACAGAGTAGGCAATGTGGGTCCCTATTGCAGCTTCTGGTCTCGTGGTCTTTTCAACCACACTTGAAGCATGCTCCGCGCAGTTCGACGAGATATGGCCGAACGCGAGACACATATAGCAGCGTTTTGGCGAAAGAATGGGTTGAATCCGGCAGATCACCCATCCAATCCTTATTTTCCCAAAGTTTACCAACTTCTTTGCTGTGGGTGTTGGCAGCAATAGTGTGGCTATCTGCAGGCCGTTTATAGTGGCTCTCACCGATTTTACGGCCTCCTCAGAAAGAGGAGCTTACTATTTAGCGCCTCCACTATCTCCTCCTTGGTTGTGACTTCATCTAAGTCCATGACCTCAAGTCTAGTTTGTTCGGTCAGGGCTCTTACAACTGCTTTAACTCCGAGAGCGTTTCCGACCGCCTTTTTAACCTCCTCTGCGCTGTGGTCTGGAGACTTCTTTAGTTGCAGCAGGAGATCTCCCTTGGCCGTCTTCCGGATGGTCTGTACGTCCCCACTGACATGTTTTAGCGTGGAGTCGCCTTTAACGGCCTTGAGAAGTTCCGCGTAGGTAATCTCCCCGACTCTTGCAACCACGATGGCGTCTGGTCTGCCTTTTCAACTTTCCCTTAGGGTTTCTGTCAGCTACTTGATGGAAATCTTCTTGTCGCTTCTCTTGTAGGCTTTCCCGATGTACCCTCTTCATTGGTGGCGTACATTTTTGGCCTGCTGCTGGCTCCCTTGCCCTTTTCGGTGTCGCTATTTTCCTTTCTTTGCCACACAGCTTCCCTGCACTCCTTTTCTATGGCTTCCTCCTGCTTAATGGAGGCCACTGCCGTTTTATGCAGCTCTGTTAGGAGATCGCGCATCGGCTGTTTGACGACCCAGTGGTCCTTAAACAGAAGGGAGAGGCCATTCACGGCCAGGCCTATTTTTGCAATAACGTCCTATAGGGACGTGATTGTCTCCGCTTGTTCTGGCTGCTGTTCAACATTATGCTGAGCCCGCTGCGTTTGCGATCTGGTCGTCGCTGAGCTTTTTGTGAAGGGGTTTGCCTGGTCCATTGGTCATTCAACGTCCGCGACAGGGGTTCCCTCGCTGGTCTCAGATTTCTCCCAGACTTTCTAACGATGAGGGTTATACCGCCCCTTTTCGGTCCCCAGAGCCCCGTTTGCTGAGGCAAGGCCTAAGCGGGGGGATGGATTTGTCGGACCTTGACTTGCTGCCCCTAGTTCCCCTATGTAAACTAGTGAAGAAGTTCGGCCTTCGTTTTTGAACTCTACACTTCAACCCTTTCAAAAGCTGACTGTTACGAGTTAAATATCTTCTTTGAGCTCGGCCTAGAGGTATGAAATTTCCCTAGCAGCGGCTGGTTTCAGTTACCAATTCTGGCTGTGGTTTGAACGCTTTCCAGCACTATCGGAGTGATCAGCTGTTTGTCTAGTTGCCAAAAAAGGGGAAACGCGCAATCGCCCGCGGAAAAGCTTTGTTTTTGTTTTCCCAGTGGGAAGAGTGCGGGAGAAAACAGAGTCTTGGTGACCCCTCTCTCCACAACCCTCGGTGGAGCACCAGTTTTAATTGTCTAAGCGCTATGATGTGATGCACTCCGCGCACAGACCCACCCTGGTACGTACCGCCTCCTATGGGGATCACGCTGCTCACTTTGTTTACCTTTTCAGGGCTGTTTAAGGCTTTCTAGTTGGAAAAACTCAGGAGGTAATTAAAAACACGTCTACACTCACTGACTCTCACACACTCTAATCCCGACCCCATAAAGTATATGAGTGATTCTTTGTGAAACGTATCGAGATTTTCTTCATGGTCTCAAAAAGATATCTAATTTTTATGATACTATCACACCATTTAAAAAGGATTTTTAAAAAAGTTAAAAAAAAAATTCATTTGACAGATGCGAAGATATGGCGATGCTATTTATACCCGTTACTCGTAGAGTAAAAGGGTATATTGTATTCGTGCAAAAGTATGTAACAGCTAGAAGGAAGCGTTTCCGACCCCATAAAGTATATATATTCTTGATCAGGGTCACTAGCCGAGTCGATCTAGCCATGTCCGTCTGTCCGTCTGTCTGTCCGTCTGTCTGTCTGTCTGTCTGTCTGTCTGTCCGTATGAACGCTGAGATCTCAGAAACTACAAAAGCTAGAAGGTTGAGATTTTTCACACATATTCTTGGGCTTCCTACGCAGCGCAAGTTTATTTCAGACGAGCGCCACGCCCCCTCTAACGCCCACAATCGCCCACTAACGATTTTAAAATGTGCCTGGCGGTCACACCTTTAAAGATTTCCGAGAAGTATAAATGCAATTTTGTTGTGTATATTTATACCTATCGAAATGTAGAAGACATTTTTTAAATCGGACCATTCATTAAAAAGTTATACGCAATCCAAAAATACATATCCATCTCCCTCGCACTCCCTTTAGCCGAGTGACGGGTATTAGATAGTCGGGACACGAACCCGACTATAGCGTTCTCTCTTGTTTTTTGTTTAATTCATTTATAATTTTAAATTACGTGGGGTAAAAAATAAATAAAAATACTCAAAAATTATTATTTTTGCCAAGCTTTCAGATGAAAATAACAGCCATAATGGTTCCAATGCAAAATACAGTCCAAACTT